CACAATTGATTCCATGCTTTTCTTGATAGCAAGTTCACTTCCTCCAAACGAAAAGTGTTCCTCCTACACTGGAAAAAAAGAGATTTATCTAAACTACAACCATGTTTTTTGCAGAAGAACAACAGTGTCTTGTCATTGCCTCAATATCATTAGGGCCTGAGCACCGATGGAATTGCTCGGTTTCTTTTTCTTCTCCAAAATAAATAGCATTTTTGAGGGCCTAAACATGCTCGAAAACTTTGCACACGTGCTAGAAGTGGTGAAAATGTACATCTGAAATGGGTTTCAGAAGTGGGTGTGGTAAAAAGGCTCAATAGCGCCACCTATAAGTCAAGTCAAGTCACCGTTATTTATATAGCGCTTTTTACAATGCAGATTGTGTCAAAGCAGCTTTACATTATTAAACAGGGAAATAGTGTGTGGAAATAGTATTTCTAGTATTCTCCTCTGGGCCTGGCCAGACGAAACCAGCAGTTCAGTTCCAGGCTGCAGCAAAGTCAGATTGTGCAGAGGACTCATCTGGTTCCTGTGGTCTTGTCCCGGTGGCCGTCTGAGACAAGGTCTTCACTGGGGATCTGTATCTGGGGCTCATCTAGTTGTCCTGGTCTCCGCTGACATTCAGGGATGTAGAAGTCATCTCTAGGGTTAGAGATGACTGATCCACCATCTGATCTGGATACAGACTGGATCTGGTGGCTACGGTGACCTCGGAATAAGAAACAGACTAATATTAGCGTAGATGCTATTCCTCTAACGATGTGACAAGTATACTGTATATATATCTATGAAATTTCAATGAAGTGCCCCTTGAGCTATGTTTCACATACATGTATGAAATTCAGTACACACATGTAACGCACCAGTACCCACATAGCAATTTTTCTCTGGCCCAGCTCCGGCCCACACAACCAGCTTTTGCTTGGCCCACATACCGCAATGTATTACGGTACTAGTGTGGAGCAGGTCTGGATTCCAGACAAGGGCCACACATGGGCCATTACTGGCCCAAGTCTCAGCCAAGTTAATTACCCATAACTGGCCCTGAATTGGGCCAGATCAAAATGTAACAATGGAACCAAAACACAACCTTAAGTAAACCATATCAACACCAATCTTTAACCAGAACGCCCAAAACTGAGCCACACCTGAGCCTGATCCAGGTGAACTAAACCTGGCAGACAAAATATGGGCCATAAATGGGCCATGACAGAGCCATATCTCAGCCACCTGTA